ATAAAAACTCGGAGGTCCGCGCGGATTTCTCGGATCGGCGCTGGACCCCCCTCCCTGGCGCGCGGAGCGCGCCAGGGGCGGCGCCGGAGGCGCCGCCGACGTAAAACAACAACTGTCGTATGCTGTCGCTCCAATCCGTTCTCTGTTCTACTGTCGACAAAGGTCGTGGGGGGCCGACCCCAAAACCAAAAAAACACCTGGGAATGGAACGGAACATAACGGAACGCCTGTGCGGGCATGCGCCCGGGCCCCTTAAGGGCGAGGCGGGTGAGGCCATGGCCTCGCATGAGAAGCTGCGCGCGTCGGGGTCTACTCAGGACAATGCGTACTTCAGGAGCTGATTTCCCGACGGTCCCCATTCGTCCGTTTTCTGCTGGTGTAGCCACGTCGTCTCGTTGAAATCGTAGTGCTTGTGGTGGGAGACTGTCGGAGAAACCCGAAGGCCGCGGGGGGACCGACCCCCAAAACCAAAAAACACCTGGGAGGGTTAGATGCTCATTCTGGGGACCTTCCTGGAGCCACTCGCTCCACTCGTGCGTCGAAGCTGCGTCGAAGCTGCGTCGAATCCGAGCCGAACCTGAGCCGAACCTGAGTCGAACTTCAGTCGAGCCTGAGTCGAACAGATCCATTAGCTGGGCCCCGGGAAGGTCCCCCAAACGAGCATCGAAGGAGGGGGTCCGCAGATTCGTGGCCGCTCTGGTCGGGTCGGGCGAAAGGGGGGGATAGCAAAGGGGGGGTTTGAGAATCAGCTCACGTAGCTGATTTTCCTGGCGCCTCCCGGCGCCAGAGGCGGCCATGTATCGAGGAATGGGCCCCTCGGTGAGGCCGAAACCAGCTGCATGCAGCAGATTTCGTAACCCCCCCTTTCCCAATCCCCCCCTTTTGTTCGGCCCGATCTGGGCTGCCCCAAGAGAGGTTCCCCGGAGGCGCGCAGGCAGCCCGGGCAGGCCGGGGAAGGGCCTCGAGCACGCCGCAGGAGGCTCCACCGGGAGGGCCCCAGGCCGGCCCCCAGGAGGGCAGAACGGCCTGACAAGCATAATGCGGGATGACGATCAATACAAAAAATGGGAGAGAACGATTAAAAAACAGTTTTCTGCTGTTTCTGCACAACTTTCTGCCTGGAGGAGAGCGATTTAAAACATTGTTTTCCAGCCCGCGGCCGGTTTTTCCTAATCGTCGTCCCGGGCGCCGCCGCGTGAACACGACCCCCGGTCATTTATTGATCGTCATCCTCCATTACCGCTGGGGCGTTGACCTAAGGAACCCTAAACAAGGACCGAGACCCTTTTTTCCATATGTGAAGCGTGGATTTCCCATGAAACCTCGGGGAAGCCCAAGGCAACCTGTAAAACAATCAAGGGGCACCGAGCCCCTCCCCGACGAAAAGGTTCTTTCTTCAGCGCCCCGACTGTAAGGCTTTCATGTGTATTGCGTGTCCCCCATTTTGCTCCCAAGATGTCCAAACAGCGCGTCCATACGGCCCATGGAGCCCCAGAGATTGCCCAAGACGGCCTCAAGGTGGCTCCCAAAAGGGCCAATATGCCACCCGCTTGGCCCAGGAATATCCAACAAGGCCCCAAGATGGACTCGAGATTAGATCTAGAGGCCTGAGGATGGTCCCGAGATCGCCCCAACTGCCCCGAATATGGCCCCGAAAGAAATCAAAACTCACCCCTGCCAAGACCGGATCCCCCCCCCACAGAAATTTCCCCCCCCTGCCACGTAACCGGCCCCCACTCACTGGCGAGAATCCCCCTGCGAAAGTGGGAGGCGGCTCGAAGTTCCCCCGCTCCTCAGGCGCCAGTAGACGACGCCGACGACGAACACGACACCGACGACGACAACGATGACGAATCAGACGCTGACGTTGACGCTGACGACGACGAATGACGACTGACGACAACAACGACGAGGGCGGGGCATTGAAAACGACGGGCGGGCCGAGCGAGCGAAACGTTAAAGTGTAAGCTTCGCTCGTGGACTGGGCGAGTTTGATGCAAAACGTGCAGAGAAGAACAACCAGGGAAAGCGACGACGACGACGACGGAAGGCGCGGCATCAAAGCGGGCGGGCAGGTGGGACATTGAAGGGGAATTGGGACACACAAATAAATACACACAACAAAAAATATCCCCCATGTTTTCCCATATTTTCTGGGTGTTTGTCTTCCCCCCCACTTCCCATATTTTCCCATATTTTCTTGGGGATCGACGATTAATTGTGTCTGTGTGTTTTTTTCCCCTCCTGAATGAAATGAACACCTCTCGCGTAGATACAACGTGGGGATGGCAAAGTAAGACTAAGAAGACCGAAGAACGCTGGATAGAATAAGACTCGTCGTAGTCGTCCTCGTCAGTGTCAACGTCGTCGTCGGCGTCGCCGTCGTTGTCGTAGTCGTCGTCCGCGTCAGCGTTGTCGTCGCGTTCGCGTCAAAGGGGGAGTTGAACCCGCCCCACCAGACTTTCGGGGGGAAGGAAATTCTGACCTCCCCCCCCCACCACCAAACTTTGGTGGGGAGGTTCGGACTGGAGCCGGGGACTGTGGGGAGGAGGTCTCCATTACGACACCCCCTCCTGCAAGCATCCATAGAAGGCGCTCTTTCCAATATAACAACGAGATGGCCAAACCTTGGGAGCGGGCGGAAGAGGGCACAGCCCTTCGTGCATAACATGTTTCTCGAGGCAGTGCAAAGCTTGACGACAATACAAAGGTCCTCGTTGTTCTTCCACGTTGCCTCCGGGCGTACGGGCCAAGCGCCAAACTTTGAACTGGCTCAGACTGCAACGCCAACGCGATCACCTGAATGTTCTGCGCGCCAGCACCGAGTATCGCAGCACACGCCATTATAGCGCTTCCAGCTACACGTGGTTGCACATAGCTGCGCCCACTTACACAATGATGCAGTCACGAGACGTAGTTGCGCGCGGCAAAATAGTGACACGTAGTACACTCAAGTACACCCAATTGAACCTAATTAGGAAAGTTGTGCGCAGTCCACCGAAGTCTACCAATATACTGCCACTTTCAACCTGATTGCACGTCTCCCAACGCATGCATACGCCATACAGATATCATATGAACTGAGCCTTCGTCCAACCACAGAGGCAGTAGGAATTCCGTGGAAACTTCTTTCTGTGCAGAGACTCCCACTCCCCTCCAGCATCCCGCACAGGCGAGCTCAGTCAGGCGTGAGAAACGCCTCGCTGCCAACGGTAGCAGCAGGCGAGGGAGACGTAGGCAGCGGGAAAGACACAACTGAGGGACTCAGGGGCAGAGGTAGAGAGAGGGGGAAACAGGAAGAGAACGGGGGGGGGAGACAGAGAGAGAGAGAGAGAGCCTTCTCCTTCGTCCCTCCTCCTCCTCTTCCTTCTCCTCTGATTTCAGTATTCTCCTCATCTCAACTCCTCCGAGCCTCCAACCGCCGCCCTCCTCCCACATAGTCCCTCGTCTTTCTCGTCTATGTTTCCTTCCGCTGGTCGTGAGACAGTATTTCTCCTGCAGCCACATCCCCCCTCCACCCCTCCACCCCCGCCCAGAGAGAACACGCCTCACCCCTCTCTCACCCCCCCCCCCTCCCTCCTGCCCTCCCCCTTCCTTTTCACGATCCCCTACCCCCCCCCATCAGACGGAAATCGGGCAACGTCGTAATCGAGTCGAAGGGGCGCCCCTGCCCCAGCAGTACCACCCCCACCCTCGAAGCACGCCCACCTGGCTGGACGTCCCGCCCCCGTGCGCCGCCGGCCCGCGCACCGGAGGGGCGGCCACGGAGAGCGCAGGCGAGACGTGCCCCCCCCCCCCCCCAGAAAAGAGGAAACGTCCAGCCCCGCAGTCGCGCCGGCCCCCGCCCGCACGAGCGGGGGAGGGGACTGAACCACGACGACGCCCAGAGCAGACGCATTCACAACCGAAGGAAGGCACACACACACACGGGGTCTCCTGCGAGCAGCAGAAGCTTAGAATCTCTGGCCCAATGTTCTGCCCACCTAGCCCTGCACTCCACGGTGGACGAGTGATTTGGCGAAGAACGACGACGCCTCAAACGACCACCCGAACAAACACCTGCCCATGCAAGAGCCGGAAATACCGGCGGTGCCCATAGTGCAGGTAACAAGAAGACAACGGCGAGAACGGCGACCAAGAGGCGGTTGACATGGAGGACACCGTGGAAGTCGAGGTGAAAGCGAGGAGGACCCGGAGGACTACGAGGAGGAAGACGAACACAAAGACTAGGAGGATGAAGACAAGGAGAGCGAGCACGAAAAGGACGAGGGCGGCAAGATCGACGAGACGAGGACGGGCAAGAGGACGGCAGCCTGGAACGCAAGGAAGACGGCGTGTATGGGTAGGGTGTGAGCGGGGGGGAGACGCGAAGGAGGACAGGGCTCTCGAGGACAACAAGGAAGACGAAAATGAGAAGCGTCGTCGTCGTCATCATCCTCGTCGTCGGCGTTATCGTCCTCGTCATCGTCTCCGTCGTCACCGGACAGGGACGACGGGGAGGACGCCTTGGAGAGCAAGAAGGCCACAGGAAGAGCAGCGCGGAGGAAAACGAAGAGGACAGGAAGGAAGACGAGAAGGACTGCGACAACAAGAGGGACGACGAAGACAAAGACGGATGAGGAGCACGAGGAGACGGACGTGGAAGAAGCGAGGGCCAGTAGTGCTTGTCGGGGCTGCGACGAGGACTACCAGGAGCGTGTGAGGTCCTCTTCGAGCCACCGGGGCGCTTCTCGGGGGATGTGGACTGCCAGGAGCGCGTGAGGCCCTCTTCGAGCCATGGGGGCGCCTCTCGGGGGCACATCGGGGTCCTCTTGACGTCTGGCTCGCGCATGGTCGCGTCTGGGGAGGCGGCCGTGCTGGTCAACTCTGATGTGCCTCCGACGCCCGGGTCGTGGATAATCCCTCCCGTGCCCTAGACTACGGGGACGGTGGTGATATCGAGTGGCGAGATGCCAAAGGCAGCGAGGAGCTTCCTCGTGCCTGAAGCCGAGCCGTGGTGGTCAAGCCTCGTCGATCGCCACTGTGGGGAAGTGGTCTTGTAAGATGGCTTTGAGCGCATCGAAAAGAGCCCCGTCCAGCACGCGTTGGGCCTCGTTGCTGAAATTCGAATTCTGGCGCTTGCGACCAGCCTGCTGGGCGGAGCCGTCCCCCCCACTCCCACGGGGCTCTTCGCGAACCCCCGTGACTTGAGCTAAGCGGGGAACTTGCTCAGTGAACACCTCTTGAAACGTGGTGAGTGGCCTCCGTCTCGTGGATGGTGACTCGGGCCGTGCTTGATTTGCGAGGTGTCTTGGCGGCGCGCGACCTCCGTGGAACCGAACCTGTTTTCTGTCCCGTTCAAGTGTGCAGCCCCGGCCTTGGCTGCCGCACCGCTGCGCCGCAGCACGGGGATGGCTCGGATCCTGGGTAAGGAGAGAGCTCTAGGGACCTTGAGAGGCCGCAAGAGGCAGCTGTTGGCCTTGCCTTCAGAGTTGGGTGACCAGTCATTCTGTCTCCTCGTGGCCCTGAAGGGGGATGCGGCTGCTGAGCGCGTCGCCACTGGTGGTCCGCATTGGTTGAACCACGCCTGCAGCGGACCAGTGCGCCGCGTCGACTCATCAGTTGGGGGTCGGAGTCCTCGAAGAGGTCGGGGCGGCGGGATGGACGCATGGGCTCATCCGCGCGGCGTGGCTGACCTTGGTTCGGCGGTGGGCCCATATCCAACTAATTCGGTGTGGGTCGCAAAGGCGCTGGAAGGGCCGGCCTCGTGGACCAGCAGGAGCTGCTCGACACACATCCCAGGACTCCCCCCCATGTTTTCCCACAGCTTCTGGGTTTGGGCTTTCTCCCCCGCTTCCCCATATCTCCCCACGTGTTCCTGGAACGGAACGGAACGGAAGTCTGCGTGCCAGCTCGGGTAACCGGAGCGGTCCCCTAGAGGGCAGACCGTGCGCTGAGCATGTCGGAAAATAAATGTCGGCAACGAACACACGCAGGAAAATGCGCGATTGATAAATCCTCTGGTGTGCAGGTTTTCAATCAGGGAACCTTCGCTGGCTAAGAAGAGCAAGAGGAGGAGGAGGAGGAGGAGGAGGAGGAGGAGGAGGAGGAGGAGGAGGAGGAGGAGGGGTGTCGACGATCGATGGTGTCTCTGTGTTGCTTCCCCTCCCGAGACGGCCCGCCGTCTCGCACGGGCGCCCCTGCCCCCGCGCACTTCCCGGTGCCGTGCGCGCGCCTCTCTCCCTGCTCGGGCGGCTTCCGGGACGCTCCCCGCGGGTCCCTGCCGAGGAGGAGCGCGGACGCGTCCGAGCGGTGCCAAGGGTACTCCAGATTTCGTAATAAAAGGGAGGGGGTTCCCATTTCGGGGGGGGGGGGTCTCTTCCAGGCTATCTTGGAGGGCCTGGGGGGTCTGGGGACGATGTTTTGGAGGGTTCTCCCACGGGGGAGGCCTGAAATGGCTTGTCTTGGAGGGTCCAGGCCCCCTCCCTTTTATTACGAAAACTGGGACAGGGAGGCACGTGCGAACCCTACCCCTACCCCCCACGACTTCTGAGGGAGAGGGTGGGGTTCACTTCGCTCGGGAGCTCCCGAGCGAAGTGACCCCCCCCCCCCCAGAAATCGTGGGGGGTAGGGGCAGGGTTCGCATGTGGCCCCCTAAAAGCGTGGACGCGTCCGAGCGGTGCCAAGGGACAGGGAGGCACCCCGTCGGTGGGCGGCGAGGCGGGGCCGGCCGTCCAAGCTCGCCCGGACGCTGGGAAGCCGGGTGGCCCGCACGCCTTGGCCCGGCGGTGCGAAGAGCCCTCGGGCCGAGACAGGCGAGCGCAAGTTAGAGAGAGAGAGAGAGAGCAGGAGGGAGGCAGAGAAAGAGAGAGGGGGGAAGCGAGAGAGAGAGAGAGAGAGGGAGGGAGGCAGAAGCGAGAGAGGCGCCCGGCCTCCCACAGGGCCGTGCGGTAGAAGGGCCTCGCGGGTGCCGCGGGGCGGGATCTGCGGGCGCTCGCAGGGAGGACGGTGGCCTCCCGGATGGGGCCCGAGCAGACGGGGTCGGAGGCTCGCGCCGCATCGCCGATGCATCGGCGTGGAGAACTCGGGGATGGACAGACCCCCCTTTAGTAAAACGTGGTTAAATGAAAACGACCCGAGGCCCACACCCGGCGGGCGCAGGCCCGGAAAATTACGGCCACGGCGCCCTCTCGAGAACCGAAAACGGACAGGTGTCACTGTTGGGGGTTCTGTCCATCCCCGACCGGCAACGGACGAGGAGGACGAGGACAGCTCAGGCACACTTTTCGGCGGCAGCGGCCTCGCGCGCAGAGACGAGGCGGAGCCAAAGGCTGCAGCGCCGGTGCGCGCGCGGCCGGGCCCCTCGGGCGAGGTCGCCCCGGATCCCGCGCGAGCCCGCGGCGAACATGGAAGAACATCGGGCTCCACATCTGGTCCTCCTCCTCCTCCTACTCCACCTCTTCCTCCTCCTCCTCCTCCTTCTGGTCCTCCTCCTTCTCCTCCTCCTCCTCCTCCTCCTCCCCTCCTCCTCCTCCTCCTCCTCCTCCTCCTCCTCCTCCTCCTCCTCCTCCTCCTCCTCCTCCTCCTCCTCCTCCTCCTCCTCCCCCTCCTCCTCCTGAGAGTCGGGCTCCACATCGAGCCGCTTCGCCGACGCCTCGGCGATGCGGCACGATCCTCCGGCCCCGCCCGGGGAGGCCCGGGAGGCCCAGGGGCGGGCGGAGGCGGGCGGCAGCCGAGCCCCTAGCCTCCCCGCGCCGGCCCCCGCCCGCCCCCCCTGCCCTTGTGCAGGCGCCGCCAGGGCCTCCTCCTCCTCCTCCTCCTCCTCCTCCTCCTCCTCCTCCTCCTCCTCGTCCTCCTCCTCGTCCTCTTCCTCCTCGTCGTCCTCCTCCTCCTCCTCCTCCTCGTCCTCGGTCCTCGGTCCTCGGTCCTTGCCCTCATCGTCTTCCTTCTGCTTTTCCTTCTCGTTCTCTTCGTCGCGGTCCTCCTCCTCCTCCTCCTCCTCCTCCTCCTCCTCCTCCTCCTCCCCTCGCCCCCGCGCGGGCTCCAGGGATGGCCAGTAGAGGCCCTCCAAGGCCACCCCCTTGCTCCCAGAGATTTCTCTGTTCACCCTGGTTGCCCGCTTTGTTTCACTACATGTGTCTCTCCGCCCCTTTCCCCGTCAACTCTCATGGGCAGAATTTCCAAAGGGCTGGTGGGGATACGCGAACCGTAAATCAACAACATAACTATCCAAGAGGCCCCTGACCAATAATCGAAGCACAGAGGCGCGATGGGCCGAGAGCCACGAGATCCGCCGCCCCCAATTGATTTATCACACGGGGTGCCTGGCATGCAAGACCCTACACGGCTTGGACTTGACTCTATGTCCAATGGGACTCCCCCCGGGGCTTCGGCCCAACGCGCCGGCAACACGAAAGTTTTACCCTGAGGTGGCTGCAAACGCTTTTCCCGCTCCAGATGGCCCCAGGTGGCCTCCAAGACTGTCAAAATGGTCCTCAAGCTCGCCCCAAATGGTCCAATATGGCCTCCATGACGGCCCAAGAGTCCACGATGCCTCCAAATTCGCCCAAGAAGCCTCCAAGACGGCCCAAGATGGCCTCAAGATGACGGAAGACGGTCCAAGGGGCCCACAAGAGGCCTCCAAAACGAGTGCGATGTGTGCGACGTGTGTCATGTGATTGCGTACACATAGGTACGTATGGAGTCGGGAAGGCAGTGTTCGGCGTTCCTGGCGATAGGACCCGTTGTCACATGCAGTACTTTGGGTCGTACCCAACCCGTTTGCATCAACTGACAAAAGGATTGGTCCAAACTTGCCAGGACAATGACAGTACAGGCGCCGTCATACGTTTTGCAAACTGCATGGGATGTGCCCACGTGACACGATCACAGGACAACAACAGCAGGACGAGGAACGAGGGCCCAGACTTGAGGAAGGCATGGGGGCGGGAACGAAGGACGGGCGAAAGCCGCGTGGGGGGGCCGAACCGTCAGCGCGACAGCAGATGAGGGAAGGTGGCAGGGGGGCAGAGGAGGACGACGAAAGTGACGGGAGGAGATCGAATAGGGTTGCGTTTGTCGGTCGTACGCTAAAGATGCAGCGATGCCTGAGCCATGTCGTACGCTAAAAATGCCTGCTGATAGTCCGTGCAGGAAGAGAGCGAGGCCCAGCTCGGCCGCCAACTTCTCTGCTTCCTTCCTGACGACTCCCAAACTCGAAACAACCCCCGAGTGAAATAAAACGGCGTCCCTCCGTTTGACCCCCAAGGATGGCGAGGTCTCCTGGTGGTCCGCGTAAGACTTCACTCCGCTGGACCCGCCAGCAACCCTCGAAAATGGCAACGGTTTCGAAGATCGCAGCACCCCAGGGATGGCGAGGTCTAATCAGAATCTGCGTGGTGCCTCACTCCGCTGCATCCCCAGCAGCTCTCGAAAGAGGCGACAATTTCGAACATCGCAGCCCCCGAGGGATGGCGAGGTCTAATCTGAACCTGGGTGGTGCCTCACTCCGCTGGACCCCGCAGCAGCCCTCGAAAGTGGCGACAGCTTCGCAGATCTCAGCCACCCAGGGATGACGAGGTCAACTCTGGAACTGGGTGGTGCCTGGCCCCGCTGGGCCCCCCAGCAGCCCTCGAAAATGGCGACAGCTTCGCAGACCGCAGCCCCCCCGGGGATGGCGAGGTCAAATATGAATCTGAGTGGTGCCTCACTGCTCCGCTGGACCCCCCAGCAGCCCTCGAAAGTGTTGACGGTGTCGCAGACCGCAGACCCCCGGGGATGGCCAGGTCTAATCTGAACCTGCGTGGTGCCCGACTCCGCTGGACCCGCCCAGCAGCCCTCGAAAGTGGCGACGGCTTCGCAGATCGCACCCCCCAGGGATGGCGAGGTCTATTCTGAATCTCGGTGGTGTCTCACCCCGCTGGACCCCGCAGCAGCCCTCGAAAATGGCGACATCTCCGCAGACCGCAAACACCCAGGGATGGCGAGGTCTAATATGAACCTGGGTGGTATCTCACCCCGCTGGACCCCGCAGCAGCCCTCGAAAGTGGCGACATCTCCGCAGATCGCACCCCTCCAAGGATGGCGAGGTCAAATCTGAACCTGGGTGGTACCTCACTCCGCTGGACCCCCCAGCAGCCCTCGAACGTGGCGACGGTTTCGAAGATCGCAGCCCCCCATGGATGGCGAGGTCTAATCTGAACCTGGGTGGTGCCTCACTCCGCTGCACCCCCCAGCAGCCCTCGAAAGTGGTGATAGTTTAGCAGATCGCAGCCCCCCAGGGATGGCCATGTAGGAGGCAAGCTGGCACGCAGAAAGGAAAGAGGTAAGAGGCAGGATAGAGGAAATAGGTGGCGGGAAGGAAGGAAGGAAGGTGTGCGACCGCAGTGCTCTGTTCAAAACGAGTACCGAACGCAGGATGGTTGGGAGCCATGTATGTGTGTTGTTTCGGCGGTGGACAAACCGCCCTTTAGTAAACCTGCCCTTAGTGAAAACGGCCTGGGACCGAAACCGACGGACCTGGACCCGCAAAATGACGGCCGCGACGCCCTCTCGCGAGCCGAACATAGCCAATTCTTAATCGACGTGTCAGGGTAGGAGGTCTATCCACCTCCGATTGTTTCTAGCGAGTAGCCTACTGGTGCGGAAAGGGGGCGTCGCAACACGGCTCATCAGACATCCGAGGCGCGGGTGCCCACGGGAGCGCCTCTCTTGAAAGTCTAAGCTGAGCCCGCCGTCCACGATCTTGTGCATGCACTCCTCTGGCGGCCAGAGGGCGGAGTCCCCCAATGCTCCAATCCCTATCTCGGGGATGGACAGAACCCCCTTTAGTAAAACGTGGTTTTGTGAAAACGACCTCGGGCCCAAACCTGGCGGGTGCAAGCCTGGAAAATGACTGCCGCGGCGCCCTCTCGAGAAAATTCACTCATCGACGTGTCAGGGCAGGAGGCCTGTCCACCCCTGACTATCATCCTGTGCCTTCTCCCTCTCCTCCTGCTGCTCCTGCGCCTGGCAAGACGGGTCCGACGCACGACGCGCCCTCCATCCTGGAAGACAAGCAGAGAGTCACCACGCGCTCGATGCCGTCGCCGTGCAGCGGCGCCGTCGCTGCGACTGGGCACGCGCCCTGGCCCGACGCGCATCTCGGTGGCGGCTGGCCTGGCGCCTGACGCCAGGAGATCCACTGTAGGGGCCCCAGGACACACAAATAAATACGCTCAAATTAAAAAAGGCTCAATATTTTTCTATATTTTCTGGGTTTTTGTCTTCCCCCCCACTTCCCGTATTTTTCCCATATTTTCTGGAAAATCGACGATTAATTGTGTCTGTGTGTGTTTTTTTCCCTCCTGATCCACGTCGGGCGCGGCGAGCGAGACGATCCTTTCAAATGGCGCCGTCCAGGCGGCCACCAGGCCCAGCGCTGCCCACCAGTCCTGGAGGTACGCGCCGGCCCACGTGGCCAGATGCTCGAACGCCCTGCAGGTGCCGACGCATAGCTGGCCGTACGATTAGGTCGGGCCTGTCCCCATACAGGGGGATTTTGGACGAACAATTAGTTAAATACTCCAAACATAATTGAAAAATACTCAAAAAATTGTCCCCAATCTATTTTTTGACTATTTTTGAATATTCCCCCTGTAGAGGACAGGCCCGACTTAACCGTACGACTCGACCGCCACGGTGAGCACGTCGGCGTCGTCCTGGGCCCGCTCGTCAACGGCCACCGCCCCCGCGGAGTCACGTTCAGGCACGCGGGTTGGACGGACCCAGGAAACGTTACCAGAGCATTTTCTCAAGGTGGAGGGCTCAAGGTGAGATCCATGTGGGCTTTTGCACCTCAAGAATGAATCCGTCTTGTGATTCACCTTTTGCAAATTCGAACCTCGAAGATCAATCGACACGGCATTTCAGACTTCACCCTTTGCCCTCCACCCAAAGAACAAATGCTCGGATTACCACGAGGTCCATGACGGGTTCAACCGCCGCCAGTCTCCGAGGTGCGGACCACTTCCAGAACCGTGCGTTCAACAATTACCCCAGCGTGGCAGCCCGCTGGGAGGCGAACGAGCACTGCGGCCGCTACCTGTCGCGGCCTCATGCGCGCAAGGCCATTTTTGCACAGCTGGAGACGCCGGGGCGTCGGGCCGAGCTTCTGACCGCAGACGTCCTCACCGCTGCCAGTAAAGCACGGTGTCTGGCACGTCGCGCCCGAGGGGCGCGCTGAAAACGCCCAGGCGCCGCATCGCTGCAGCGCGGAAATAGCTCGACGGGAAATCCGCCGAGCCTGTCGGCGTCTTCGAGACGCTCTTCCGTTTGTAGAGGCCGCCTAGATGGGGTCGGGGTAGATGGGGTCGGAGGATCGTACCGCATCGCCAATGCATCGCCGATGCATCGCCGATGCATCGGCGATGCATTGGCGATGCACCAGCGGCGCTGGCGATGCATGGGCGACGTCGGCGTGAAGCAAATCGGGCTCCGCATCGAGCCGCATCGTCGATGCATCGGCGATGCGGCGCGATCCTCCGACCCCATCTGCTCCGACCCCATCTAGGAGGCCTAGAGCTTGACTCGTCATCGTCGTGGTCGTGGTCGTGGTCGTGGTCGTGGTCGTCGTCGTCGTCGTCGTCGTCGTCGTCGTCGTCGTCGTCGTGGTCGTCGTCGTCGTCGTGGTCGTCGTCGTCGTCGTGGTCGTCGTCGCCATGGTCGTCGTCGTCGTCGTGATCGTCGTCATGGTCGTCGTCGTCGTCGTCGTCGTGGTCGTCGTCGTCGTGATCGTCGTCATGGTCGTCGTCGTCGTCGTCGTCGTCGTCGTCGTCGTCGCCGCCGTTCATTGGCCGGGCACAAAAGCGGGCTGCGCGAGGGGGGGGGGGCCTTCGTAGAAGGCCGACGGCCTCTCCGAAGGGTCGGCGGCACGGGCCGTGCGGGCTGCGGCACCCGCACCGCGCCGGCGCCGGGCCGACCCCCGGCAGCAGGACCCTCCTGCCGGCTCCACGCCGGGCGCCCGCCTTGAGCCGAGTGGCCACCGGGGCGTCTGCGGTGAGGAGCTGCTCGGGCTGGGCGAAAGGGGGGGATGGCAAAGGGGGGTTTGAGAATCAGCTCACGCAGCTGATTTTCCCGGCGCCGGAGGCGGCCATGCATCGAGGAATGGGCCCCTCGGTGGGGCCGAAACCAGCGGCATGCAACAAATTTCGTAACCTCCCCTTTCCCTATCCCCCCCTTTTCGTCCGGCCCGAGCTTCTCGGCTCAACTAGACGCAAGTAGACAAGCGCGTTCCACGACTCGCAACGTAAATGCTCGAAAATTGCCTGGTTCCGCCGCTGAGGGGTCACGATCCATTACAGAGAGGCAAACGTGCGTTTTGCTTGCAGTTTGCGACTAGGCACTTTGCGAATGGTGGAACTGACTACCTACCAGACCACCCCAACCCAACCCGAAGACCCCAATTTCGGGTTGGGGGGGTACGGGCTCCATATGTGTTTTTCAGTGTTCCCCGACCCCCCCCAACTAGAAATGGAGGGAAAATTGAGGCCTTCGGGTTGGGTTGGGGTGGTTTGGTGGGCGGTGAGGAACGCGCTTGGTGAGCAAAAGTGACCCTGGGCAAGAGTGGCCTGTCGAGTAGGGGATTGACTACAGAATTCATTTACTCGAAAATCGTTCTGTCGGTGATTTATCGGGGGCGGCCAAGAGGGGGGGGGGCGCCAATCATGGCCGGCGGCATGTGCGCGGCGCAGGGGGGGGGGCGCCAGGAACGCAATGAAGTACGAAGAGGCGCCATGACATCTAAGGAGATGTCGTGGCCCACACCATGATATCCGATATCCCCCACTAGTCATCACCCCCCTCTTTGCCGCCCCCGCCGCTGGCCATCGCTCGGACGTCCATTTCCTGTTTTTTTTCTTCGGTTTCGCGAAATGATCAAGGATGCTCCTCGATGGTCCTCGCCGAAGGAAAAACGCACACGTCCGAGCGATGCCAAGGCCGAGATTTACCAGAGCCGCCACACTCTGCGCGTGCGCGTCCGGAGTGAACTGCACGCTGCCCCTGCCTGCTCCGTGCGCCGCTGGGCCGCGAGCACCCGCGGGCCCCCCAAGCACAGGGGGCGCTCGGCCAACCGCGGCCGCTGGCGAGCCGCGGGGTGCCGACAGAGCACGACCGCGAGGGGAGGGGAGAGGGGGGAACCCCACCGAGGCGCGCCTTCTGAGCCAAGTCCGCACGCGCGCCCGAGTTTGGAAACAGTCTGCCCACCTGCCCCACTCCTTGTCCGTGTGGCAGCGCCGCGTCGGCCACGCTTCCCTCCGCATCGCGTCGGAGGCTGGGCCCCTTCCGAAGGCGCCCGCCAAGCGCAGCTCGGCGAGGGCGTGCTCGTGCAGCCGTCGGGCCGACAGGGCTGTCGGGGCAACACGGCCTGGCTCTTCTGCTGCCTGCTCCTGCTCCCGCGCCACGAAACGTGTGCCGACATGGGCATGGCGGGAATCAGTTAGACATGGCTGCCGGGACACGCTGCCAGCTCGCAGGAGCTCTTCCCGACTGGCCTTCTGAGACCTTGCGAGGGCTTCATATTAGAAGCCGACAGCACAGGCTAGCCCGGGATCTCTTTCCGGCGCCAGGGCGGCGAGAGGCGGCGGAAGGAAACCAGGAACTGTTCTTTCTTCTGAGGTTCCTTGCAGGCTTTTTCCCGACCATCCATGAGCAGTTGTTTGCCGCCCTTGCAATGGCCGGTCCCCCCACGGCGTCTGGAGGTCTTGGGGTTTTCGCGGCAGGACCCCCCAACCCTCCCACGATCTCTAGGTCAAGGGAGTATTATATGGATTCTGATTCTGCGGGTCCTGGAGCAGGCACCTGTCCTCGGCGAAACATGATTTTCTCCCGAGTCTGTGTGAGACTGAGCAGTGTGGAGGCCAGGATCTGGTCAACGCTCAATACACATCGCTGATGCGACTCAGGACCGGCCTCCCCCCCCCAGGTGCGGTGTCAAAGCTGGGGTGGCTGCTCAGCACAGTGCTGCCCACACCCTTGCCTAGTCTGTTTTTTTTTCTGGGGCGCTCGGATCCTACAATTGTGCGTGCTCTGTTTTGTTCAAGGCGTCCAATCTCTAGTTTTCAAATGCTTCTTCCGCCGGCTGCTTCCGGCGAGCAGCTCATCCTCCTCCGCCCTCCCCACATCGTCAGTATCCCTCTCCTCCTCCTCCTCCTCCTCCTCCTTCAACTCCTCCTCCCCTGTCCACGTACTGTTTGTCCTTTCCCACTCCTCCTCCTCCTCCTCCTCCTCCTCCTCCTCCTCCTCCTCCTCCTCTCCTCCTCCTCCTCCTCCTCCTCCTCCTCCTCCTCCTCCTCCTCCTCCTCCTCCTCCTCCTCCTCCTCCTCCTCCTCCTCCTCCTCCTCCTACTCATCACCACTCGTCATCACCCGTCTGCTCGTCCCTCCCTCCCTCCCCTCATGCTGAGCTGCTGGCGCTGCTGCCACGGTGCCCCTTGAAAACACCCCCCAAAAAAGGGCCGCGCTCTCCTTGAAGGCAGCCAGCTCGTCCACCTCCTCCTCGCCCGCGCGGGCGCGAGGGGTCGCGAGCCAGAGATACCCCCCAGACCCGGCGCCGCCTGAAGTCCAAGAACCCCCGGCGTCGTGGTCCTGTTCACGGTTGATGCCGTATCCGCCAGTTTACGCCTTCGACCATGGACCCCCATGTTACACGACTATTGAGCAGTGACCGACCGTCCCGGCATTCCTGTAGGCCTACTGTTCTTAGAACCCAAGAATGTTCTAAGAACAAAGACAATGTTCCAAGAACAAAGACAATGTTCTTAGAACAGAATCCCGATGTGTTAAAACAAGACAGTCCCCGCCAGAAATATTTTCAGAACATTTCATGGAAACCACAACAGGTTCTTAGAACATTGGTTGGTAGGCCTATAGGCACGCTGGGACGCTTCGCCAATGCTTGAAGACTACACATCCGCCTTCGGCAGTATTCGGATGTCTTCTCTGGTCTGCAGCTAGTCTCTGCGGTCTCCAGCAGTCTTCGGCGGGCGTCCGCGCATAAGCAAAACGGGCTACGTCTAACACGGGGTCGATAATCGAACACCTGAATAAATCGTCTCGTCCTTGCGCGTTAGCTTGTCGTGGTGTCTCAAGCACACCGTCTCCGCTTGTGGGGCGAGGGAGTCTACTCAATGGATCAACCAGAGACGGATTTTCAAAGTCGGTGCGATCTGGTCAACCTCCCTAGGAGCGGACCGACGCCTGTCTCCAATTCACCGAGCGGGTCGTTCTTTGGTCCCTGGGCCGAATGGGGCACCAAGAAGTCTGAGCTTAGAAAACCAACCAGTCGTCGTGACTCTTTCAAGACGTGGGAGGCACGGGTCCAGCATCGAAGGCATCAGCGAGTCCGACCCAAAACGAAGAGAACTCGATGTCGGTTTGGAGGCGGCGGGGGGGGTCTGAACTGGATGGGCCCTGAGGAAATCTGCAAAGAAGGGGGGATAAGTGAAGGGGCCCTGGGACACACGAATGAATACACACAAATACATTGTTTCCCCATATTTTCCCATATTTTCTGGGTTTTGGTCTTCACCCCCACTTCCTATATTTTCGCATATTTTCTGGGGAATCGACGATTAATTGTGTCTGTGTGTTTCTTCCCCTCCTGAATAAGGGCAAATCAGTTGAAATTCGGTCCCTGGACCCCTCCCGGGGTGTCCATGTGGTGGAATTTGTCGCCCTGGATCCGTTTCTGACGGTCCCAGGGCCGGAAATGTCCCCCAAGAGGCCCCCAACAAGGCAGAGAACCTCCTCGAACCCAGAACCTTGCACCTCTTCTCCCTCATTCCTGGTCGGAACCAGTGCTGGGCCACCTCCAGACCCCCCGCCGACTCCCAAGGGGAACTGCTGTCGGCCTCTGTACCTACAGTCGGGGCGTTGACCTAAGGAACCCTACATAAGGAACGAGGCCCCTTTCTCCCATGAGTTGAACTTCGATTTCCCATGGGAAACCTCAGGAGAACCGAAGGTACGCTGCAGAACACTCAAGGAACACGGAGCCCCTCCCCAACGAAAAGGGTTCCTTCTTCAGGGCCCCGACTGTATTCTTTCCATGCAAATTCCGATCGGATCGAACATGGAGGGGACCGCTAGCAGGCCGCCCACAGAGGCAACGGCGGGAAGGAGGGACTGGCTCAGCGGGGGACGTCGATCTGGAATCGGCGGTACATCGCCGACAGATCGGCGACAGGCCCACGGCAGCGAATCCG